TATTTTTTTAAAAAAAAAAAAAAAAAAATCACACCAAAAGAAAAAAAAATTTAAGAAAATACAACACTAGGAAAAAAAAATGTACAAACAGGTTTCAAAGTCGCCCGTAAAGAGGCACAGTGCCCACCGTCCTACACATTTCAAGCCATTTTAACATCCCCCTTACAAATAAGAGACTTGGGTTTTTTTTTTTTCCCAAACCAATATAGATCTTTTTTAAGCAAGGTAAAATAAAGATATTTACTACAGATTTTGATTGTCAGCAAACACAATATATTTACTGCATTAGCATTTGCTCACAGTGCAAATGGTACAACAATACATCAGTTCAATATTTCTGATTTTTTCCCTTAAAAATGCTGTATGCATTAACTATCATATTTGCATTACAACATGACAAATGAGCAAATGAAATGTGTGTGAAAATTATCACCTTTTCACAATATCAAGCATAATTTTTTTTTTTTTAACCTTAGTATAAGGTACTATAAATCCAAGAAATAAAAACATCCACAAAATATATTACATCTGGTATGATTTTTTTTTTTTCTCTAAGTACTCAACTTTATACAAAAGTCTTTCAAAAAATATCATTCCCTTAGGTTTGTGTGGTTAAACATATTACATCTGGTATGATTTTTTTTTTTTCTCTAAGTACTCAACTTTATACAAAAGTCTTTCAAAAAATATCATTCCCTTAGGTTTGTGTGGTTAAACCTGATTGTGGTTTTTTTTTTTGTTCCTTTCGGTTCACATAAATTAGACTGCATTCTTTCTCTTCTCTTTATTTTTTGTACGTTTTTAATGTTTTTTTTTTCACATGCAGACATCAAACCTGGATAGCACGACCTTTTGGCAACAAAGATTTTTTTTTTTTAAGTCATTATTATTTTTGCTTAGTTTAGCTTAAATGTCTGAGCACAGTTTTATTAAAACAAAAGAAGAAAAAAATCAGAGCAGTCATGCAATGACATGCACATACCAGAAGGAGAAAGAAAAAAAATAAAATAAAATAGAGGACTGATTGATTTTTCTCCTCCGTAGTTGGTTGGTTGTTTTAAAGTGACCAAATAAAATAAAATAAAAATATCTCACATTATAAAAAGTATTCAGCAAAATACTGGGGGTTTTTTTCTGCATTTCT